GTTCATCGTAATAGTCAATAAGATTTTTTCGATGTAAGCAACAACAAAAAAAAAAAAAAGACATGCCAAAAATAATAATAATACATAAACGAGAGAATTCTAACGTCTATGTAATATACTATAAATAAATGCATACATATACATATATACATACGTGCATAGCAATAAGATAGGTGGGGCTGCAATTTTGTTGATTTGATTATTATCAATTATTATAGAAAGATTTATTGTTAAATCGTTAAATTATATTACATCGCGTAATATCATAATATTTCCTATGGAAAAAAAATTATCGTTCTATGTTTTAACTGTGAATATATATATATATATATATATATACTTTGAAATAAGTAATATTTATTGTACGTTAAAAATTGTTTGGTATATTTTGTTTAACTATTACTATTACTATTACTATTACTACTACTACTACTACTAATACTACTTGCTGATCATTATAAATATTTGTGTAAAACGAATTACAGAAATTCGTTAAAATGCATAATTAGATTATTCGCATAAAGCACAGAGTACAGAACAATCATTAATAATAAGGACAACGGCTACCAGACGATAATTGTTAAATGATTTTTTTTTTTTCTTAATGCATTTTACTTGTTTATTTTTTTTTTTTTTCGTTTCTGTTTTTCATACCAAATGAAACGTTTTTGAAAAAACCTTTTAAATCGTTTCTCTCGACCATATGCTGTAATTCGTTAACTTTGTATACTATATATATCTGAAGTTAGACACGTATGAGAGATTAGCGATGTAATTTGATGTAAAACGTCATAAAATCGATGTTTACAAGAATGAAGTGGTAATTATAATAAAATGACAATTATTACGGTTACGGTGAATCAATTGACAAACGTCATAGAATTAACGAAATCAATTTATGAGATATTGCAGTCTCGGATACAAAGAAAAAAAAAAAGAAAGAAAGAAAAAAAAAAAGAAACGATATCATTATTATCATTATAATATTAGGCATAGCAATTAATTCGGTTACTTGATATTAAAATGAGAAATTCCATTAAAATCATTATTTTTCTTTATTTTTGTTTTGTTTTTCTTTTCGTCAATAAATTCGGCAATTAACTGAGAAAGATGGACCAAAGTCATTGAAAAATAATAGAAATTAATTAATTCATTGTGATTTAGAAATAAATATTAAAAATTTATTTAAACAACACACCGAATTAATTGCTACGCCTAATATACATATACATATAAATATACATATATACATATATGTATATATGTATATATATATATTAAAATGACAATAGATAGATGAAAACGAATATTTTTATTTTCTATTTCGCACAAAAAAAAAAAAAAAAAAAAAAAAAAAAAAAAAAAGAAATAACGTATCGACCTAAAGAACAAATTATTCGCGAACACATCAGCGAAACAATATGTGCTTGCATGAACGAAATCTTCTAATTAGTGTGTGTCAATAACGTCGGATCCTAACGTTACACGTTTCATAAAAAAATGAAAAAAAAAAAAAAAAAAAAAAAAAACAAATAA